TGCAAGTTACCATTTGTTTCTTTGAAAACAGTAACCATGAACATTTTATAGTATCTTAAATCAAGTGTCTAAAATCTTTTGAGAACCAGTTTGTTATTCCTGTTGGTTCTCACCTACAGTACCTTTTCTTTTATGCTTAAAAAAAAATCATGATCCGCAGGAAAAGAGTGTGGAAAGAACGGGAGGGGAGATAAAGAAAAAAGTCCCTTCCTCCAAAAAGTAATTTCATTTCTTCTATCATACACCGGAAGGCATCAATAGTACAGGGTCATCTTAAACCAAGTTCAAGGCTTGAATTTTTCTGAGCTCTCAGGCTGCAAGTCCCTGGGAGGATTTGATTTCTGATCACCTCTTTTACTGTGACAAGGATAGCCCTTTGGCATGCCAGCTTTTGGAGGGAAACATCTTCTAAGAGTCTATCCATTGTATGTGGGCTCTGGATTTTGATTCTGTCCCATTCAACCTAGGGTAAGGTCTGATTTGCTGAAATCAAATGTGGTTTGCCTTTAGATCAAATGTGGTTTCCAGGCACCTGTGCTCCATTTTTCCCTGGACTCTTGTTTTTCTTCACTTTCGGCCTGAAAACATTTTTACTAATTTGTCCATTCCTGGACGCTTTCAGAAATTTTTTTGCTTATATTTTATCCAGAGGTTTCGGCTTCTTGCAGCAGGAGAGTTAAAAAACAAACAAACAACTTAGTTCATCATGAACAGACACCAGAAATCTGTTTCCCCTATTGAACTTCGAATGCTTCCAAAACCTCATTAGTTTATCACCTCAGGCAGTTCTAAGTGCCAGTCTGTCTGCCTAGAAATATTCCTTTCTCTCCTCAACCCCACTGACCTCTTCTGGCTAACTGCTCATACCTCCCTGACTCCCAGGGCTTTGTTAAATCCCATTCCACTATGCTTCCACAATCCCCAATTTTCTCCTATCTAGTAGCCTGTAGCTGCTGGTTATGTTGCTCTGCAATGGCCAGACTTTATACATTTCACAACTATTCAAAAAGCAGTGTATCACAGTGGCTAAGAGTGTGGCACCTGGAACCAGATTGGGTTTGAATCCCAGTGCGACCTTAACCTCTTTGTGCTTCAGTTTTTGCATCTGCAAAATAGGATAACACAAGCCTGCACCACAGGGTTATAGGATGTCAGTGTATGTGTTAATGCTTATGAAAATGGTTAAAATTGTGCCTTGTACATAGAAAGTGCTCCTTATTGAAGTATCGGCTCATGGCACTTGTTAGGCACCTGATTATTGAATGTCTGTATATTTTTATGAATGAACATGATGATTTCCGAGCAGCTCTGACGTGGTGAGGTTAAGATTTTCCTGAGCCACTCTCTACCCCTGAAAGGCTCATCCACTGTGGTATCTTTGAACCCACTACGAATCAAGCAGCCTAATAAACCAGTTGTCTTTTCCAAATCCATCTACTAAGCACTGTTAGGGAGGCAGGAGGAACAGTCTAGAGAAAATGACCACTGAACCAGGACGGAGGTGATTTCTTATCCTAGCTCTACCCCTGCCTGCCTGGCTGTGGGACTTCAGGTAAACAGGTTCATTTTACAGGACTCCTACATACTCCGCTCCAGTCCTGCTGTCCCCTGGACTGCTCAGTCTGAAACAATGCCACCTCTACTACTGGGTTCCAAATCAACCTGTGCTCTAAGGCACACCTCAAATGCCAAGTCTCGCACAAGGTACAGCCCACCTCCAAATGACTGCCGTTTCTAACTCACAATTGTAAACCAACTGTTAGCATAGTATGCTTATGCAATTGTTTGTTGGATTAACTCACTTCAACTTTGGAGTAAATGTGAGCAAATCAACGGTCTTTTTCAATTGTTTCCCATTTGACAAATGGAAACTTTACCCGAGACCAGATGAAGCTTTACCTTGCAAAGCTTTAATTTAAGTCAAGCAGGCTTCTCACCTGTACAAACGCACAAACGCAGGAATGTTGTGGGCTCAGAACGCCATCACACAAGCAGGCACTGCTGGCGTGCTGTATGTGTGCCCCGCTTAGGCTTTCACTAACATGCCATCATCTCATCGCATTCCCCACATCCACACCACAACTAATTTCCACAAAGGGGAGGATGTTAAAAAATATAACCATCTGTGCACCGTATCAAGTAATTATCAACCTGAAATCTGTATTTCAGTTGTAAGCCTTTTAAAATCAAGCTCTATTGTATACCGGCATACTCCATACAAGAATACAACTCCAGTTATCTGAATTGATTACTTTTACTTATCACCAGGTTACAATCAAAGTATTTGAAAGCTACATCACCAGGTGCACTCAACGAGCGAGGGGTCCTTTGTCCATGTACTAATAGGGAACTAGGGGCCTAGGGAGAGGCTTGATGGGGAAAATCTGCAGATTCTGTCCTACACCACAGCAGAACTGTAGATCATCAGAGAGGATTTAGGGGAGGGGCTCAGAAACAAAGGGCTGTTTTGCAGATGGCTTGATTTTGACAGCGATGATTTGCAGCCAAGGTGGAGACTAGGTGGAGAATAAAGAAGTTGCAAGAGGAAAGCTTTAGGATTATGTCAACTTCAAATGAGAAGTCCGCTGGTGATATCTGGTTTTAGAGATGGGCCGGGTCTCTTGAGAGAGACAGAGAGAGAGAGAGGGAGATAAAAAATATACATGTATATTTTTAGAGAGGGAAGAGAGCACGCTGGGGAGAGGGGCAGTGGGAGAGAGAGAGATTGAGAGAGAGAGAAAATCCCAGGCAGGCTCCACACTGAGTGTGGAGCCTGACATGGGGCTCAAGCCCATGACCCTGGGATCATGATCAGAGCCAAAATCAAGAGTCAGACAACCAACTAAGCCACCCAGGCTTAAAGGAATTAAAATTCAAAAGGATGCCCAGATATTTGGCATCAAGAATCTCTGAATGCAGAAAGTTGTTCCTCTGCTAAAGCAAGTTTACTTCACAATTGGGACCCCTTCTTGAAGAACATAGGCAAAGTGGCCATCTATCATGTTGCCCAGAACGATGGTGTTTCCAGCGAAGCCCAAGGCTACCTAGAAGCAGTAGTAGGAGCACAAACTGAACAGGAGGCCCTAGAGGCCAGGTTATTGCCTAATCCCAGCAAGAGAAAGCCATCAGTTTGGATCCATCAAAACAAAACCTACCTTTGAGACGGGCACAGGTGCAATTAGGGGTCTATGGCAGATAGGAAAGTTGGGAAGGTAGCAGTTACCGTGGCCAGGGGCCAGGGTGGAGCACATGGCAGAGGGAATGCTAACTGCTCTTTGGTTGTTAGAGCTTCCCTACATCTAACTGACCTCCTTTCGTATTCACTCTTTAAAGGGAACATCTCCTTTCTTTTGCATAAATGTTAGTCAGCTGTCCCTCCTCCACACTAGTCAGCACTTAGCCCCAAGTCCACATGGGTAGGTGGGACCTCAACGGAAAAACAATGGTGAAGAAGACAATCTAACAACATCATACTTTTCAAAGAGGAAGGCAGACGGCAGCACCAAGTTGCATTGCCGCTCCTTTCTCCCGCCAGGTGACCACCTGAGGGCAACAGAGCAGGGACAGGGGTCAACTGGGGCAAGGCCTGCTATGTATAACCTGCCCCGACGGACTGTTCTGGAAAGGAAAACCCCTTCACTGCCAATTCAGAAAACACTGCTGCTTCAACAGGACTAGCACTCACTCGCTGACATGTGAGGGTCTGGCTTGCAGAGCTGCTGCTGGTCCCAAGTTCACTCTTCCTGGTGTCACCCCTGCCCCTCCCAAGTCAGCCCCTGCAACTAGCTATTTTTACCTCACAAATACTAAGATTCCCGTAGCTGCAAATGGCCCTATAAACACAAGGCCCTCTATGCTAGGAAAGGATAACCTTTTGAAATGGGGCTGTATTTACAAATTTTATTATTATTATTTTTTTATCCCAAAAATACATATAAATGAAAACCTGCTCTTCAAATGCAGGGAGGCCTTTGCCTATAATGTAGTATTACATTTACGTCACAAAACATTCCCATATGAAAATCAATATGCAGCTCTTTCACACGCAATGTTATATATACACACATACGCACAAACACACGATATATGCAAGTAGTTAGGACTCTGCTACTTACACATATTCCTCTGGTGGAAAATTAGGAAACAGGGCAATTCCCTTGCTTTCTGGCCTTGGGAAGATAAATACAACCTCTCTGAACAGTTTTTGAAAAGATGAAATGTGTAAACTACACAACCTCCTTTAGACATATACATATGTTGTTAGAATAAAGCAAGGACCCTGCTACGAAACTGACACTGTTTTGCAAAGAAGGAAGGAGATAACATTTGAATGAAAATGCAAAGTTGAACAGATGATCAAAATTGTTCTGTACATGCTCTATGGAGAAATCAGAACTCTTCACAAGAAACAGATCTATGCTCCAGTTCAGCTTCTTGTGACATTACATCCGCACCCACTGGCAGAAGCCAGGACCTTCCTATACAGTCCATGCTGAAGCAGGTTCCATAAAGCATCTGTTCAAGTCCAATAATCAATAATGAGGTCATGTGGTACATTCCCACCCCTCCCCCCCCAAATGAAGTGCAAAAATCAACCTCTGTGACTCAAGAGCTCAACCAGGTCAAAGCTTTGGTATATACTGGAGGCTGTTTTGGTGACAACCAAAGCTTAGTAAGATTCTCTGTTCAGGGGGTTGCCCCCAAAACAAAAACAAACCCAGTCCACGAAGCTTAACAGCTATATAAATAAAGTAACTGTACAAAGAGAACAAGCCACAGTTCCCCTTTATCCAAGGGTTTATAGTCTCCCAGGCAGCAGTTCTGGAAGCACCAACTAAAGCCACAATGCTTCTACTGAAACACGATGTGTTGGTGAGACTGTTCTGAAAACAAATGCCCATAGGCGAGTGGCTGATGTGCCACAGGAAAAAGTTCAACCAAACATAGGTCAGTTTTCTTATACTAGAACATACGCTGGTCAGCAACAGAGGAAAGACTTAAGGCAATAAGAGGCATTACAGAGAGCACCCTTGTACTCTCTGAGTCAATCCCAAAACCTTCAAAGAAAGAAGAGGTCTCTCCAGAGTTTGGGTTGGTTCTTAGTTTGCTAGCTGTCAGATACTTCCTCCTCCTCCTCGTCATCCTCATCTTCTTTCCTGTCTACTTCGGAGGTGTCAGAGGACTCGTGAAGCAGGACATACTCTCTGCTGCTGAACCCAAATTTAAGTACGTCCTTTTCCTTTAGTTCATAGTATCTCTGTGGCTCAATGCGCTTGTTATTCAAGAATGTTCCATTGCCTGAGCCAAGGTCAATGATGTAGGGCCTCACCCTTCGGCCAACTGTACCATCAGCACGGGTATATTCCACAAGCCTAGCAGAGATAAAAGAGAGAAACCTGTGAGCAAAATCCCGTCTCGAGGCCCTCCCGTTATTTTCCTAACACAGCCTACACACAGGATGTCAATTACCTGGCTTGAACACAGTTCGAGTCAACTCCAGGAAATCAAGGGGATGCTATGGCCCTGGATTTTGAAATTACGAGCAAGTTAATAAATATACTTAGTAGAAAAGGTGGGAACTGGTTGCTGAGGGAGTAGACCGGGAAATTCATGGCAGATCAAAAGTTTAACATCAGAATCCAAGACCTCTTGTTGTGATTAAGAAAAAACACTTTTAGGGGCGCCTGGGTGGCTCAGTCGGTTGGGCATCCGACTTTGGCTCCGGTCATGATCTCATGGTCCATGGGTTCGAGCCCTGTGTCAGGCTCTGTGCCAATAGCTCAGAGCCTGGAGCCTGCTTCGGTTTCTGTGTCTCCCTCTCTGCCCCTCCCCTGCTCGTTTTCTCTCTCTCTCAAAAATAAATAAATGTTAAAAAATTAAAAAAGAACAAGAAAAAGAAGAAACACTTTTGTGCTGTTTATAATCAACACGATGCTTCTTTCACCCATGTTTCAACCTATCTTATCTCCTGTCCCAACGGGAATAAAGCAGTGCATTTTGACTCCAGCGTCAAGGGCGCTAACTCTGAAGCTGACCTTCAGTCTTCACACCTGTCAAATGGGGATATTGATGTGTGACCTGTCCTCCTCACAGGATTGTCACGAGCACCAAACGGTAACAGACGCACTCCACAAACTGCCAAATACAGACGCGGCTAACACAGATGCCACACGCATTCTCATAATCTAAGACAAAGATTAGATCCGAGGAGTGTGGCATTCTGCCGCAAGCACGTGTACACAAATGTTAGTAATCGTCACACTGTCGGCGTCTACCCACACTCCTGGTTCTTCCTACAAACACTCACCGATACTGAAAGACCGCGTGCTGCTTTGAGCAGGAGGGATGATCGATTGGGATGTCCGCTATGCGGCGGTGCCGGCCCAGGAGGTAGGCGCTCTGCCGATGGATGTACATGACGGGAAGCACCTCATCATTTTTAAAGGGGTAGAGGCGCCACCGTTTTTTGGGGATCCGTGCTTCTGGGGGCTCACTGTATTTAATGACGACACCCCGGAAAGTGTTGGTATCCTCAAGAAGTGCCCCAGAAAGTTCAAAGCTTGGCTTTTCTTTAGCGGGCGCCTCTTTGTCCTTACTGTTGCCACCAGGTCGGGGAGCCAACTCCTGAGGCTCGTTACCGCCGGCACTAACTTCGTTCTTCTGGCGATTCTCCCGTCGTCGGGCATTGTAAAACTCCCGCTCCACGTCCTGAGCCTGGAGGTTCTGAATGTCTCGGTCCCGTCCCTGAGCCTGCCCACTCCCAGGCCTCTCATTAGAGCTTCTCCTCTGGTGGGAATGGCCCCTGTGTCTGTCACGGTCGCTATTCCTAGCTCGCCTGTGTTCCTGGCCTGATGGTTCCCTGTGCTGCCGATCTTCCCGTCCTCTCCGGGGATGATCCTCGCGTTCCTGAAATTCAAAGAGATCCAGTAAATTAAAGGCAGCCCACAACCTGTGAACAAGCTGCATTCAAAAAGCCATTTGTGATTTGGACTTTGGCACTCAGAGCAAAATGTCCCACAGAAATAAGGTGGGCAGCGGTGGTTATGTTCCCTTGCAAGGCTACACGGACTATCTCCATGCTGTCACCAACTACAGCTCTAACACTGCAAGCCCAAGTTCAGAGCCCTAGAAATAAATGGAGCTATTGGCAAACTTGTAAGGAAGCACATACAGAAAATACAACTAACAGAGACAGTTAAGTAGTCACGTACAAGATAAACATGTGAAGAAAGAAAGCCAGTTTCCTCTTATGTCAAAAATGAGAAAAAATTATAATTTTAAAAGATCTCATTTCAACAATAATAAAAAATATTCAATACTCAGGAATACATTTAAGAAATATGCAAGGCATGTAAAAAGAAACCTATAAAAATTTACTGATAGATGGTTTTTAAAAACCTGAAAAAATGAAGAAACATACCACGGTTTCTTGAAAAAGACTCAGTATTGGAAATCAGCCTGATATAAACTGTTTGAAACATATAACATCTATTAATATATCATTAAAAAAATAAATCAGTAACACAAATAATTCGACAGAAAAAAATAGGCAAAAGATATCAACACGTAATTTTCATAACAAATAAGTATCTAATAAACACGTGAATATAACAAGCTTATCCTTACTAATAACCAAAGCATCAGAGTTCAAGACAGAGCCCCGCACACTATAAGCAAGGCTACCCCACCCGGAAAGGGTCAAAAGGTACACCTGAGCACTGAGTTCTCACTGCCTCCCGGGCTCCCAAGGCCTTCTCCTGGCCGCCCACTCTCAAGAGTGGGCCTGCTTACTCCGAGCAGGACTCTGGTTTTTGAGACTTTTTAGCCTCCAAGACAAGCATCAAGAGGGGGTTTCCAATGCCTATCCCTCCTACCTTAAGATATTCACAAGCTTGCCACCACCACTTACCTTGAGTACATTTGCCAGGACTAATCTCATTATGTCCTTTATCCCTGATTAAATGAGTCACAAGCCACAGACTCTGGGTCATCACCCCCACCTCCTGTGAATTCTAATTCCCATAAGGCTGTATACATGCACTATTCCAATGACTAATTCTCAGTCTTCATTTCAAATACGTGTGGACCAAGCAAAATTAGCAAAAACTAAAGAAAAAAATATGACAAATTACATAACCAGATAATACAAAATAACTAAAATTTCAATTATTGATAAGCAGTATAGTATATATAATATGGTTCCATTTTTTAATTAAAAATTCTGCAGGGTGCCTGGGTGGCTCAGTCAGTTCATGATCCAACTTCATCCCACTTGGGGTCAGGTCATGAACTTGCAGTCCATGGGTTTGAGCCCCAAACTGGGCTCCACGCTGAGAGCTCAGAGCTTGGAGCCTGCTTCGGGTTCTGTGTCTCCCTCTTTCTCTGCCCCTCTCTCGCTCAAACAAACACACACACACACACTCTCTCTCTCTCTCTCTCTCTCTCAAAAATAAACATTAAAACAAGAACCAAAAAAACTCTATGGGAGCACCTGGGTGGCTCAGTCAGCTGAGTGTCTGACTTCAGCTTAAGTCATGATCTCGTGGTTCATGAGTTCAAGCCCCCATGTCGGGTTCTCTGCTGTCTGTACAGAACCCACTTCGGATCCTCTATGCCCCTCCCCCAAACAACTGCATGTTAAGACACATACTAAAACATAAAAGAAAAAAGTAATGGAGTCTTGAAGACTAAATATCAAACTATTAAAACGGTTGCCTCTGGGGCACCTGGGTAGCTCAGTCAGTTAAGCATCCAACTTTGGCTCAGGTCATGATCTCACAGTTCGGGAGTTTGAGCCCCATGTCGGGCTCTGTGCTAACAGCTTACAGCTTTGAATCTGCTTCCAATTCTGTGTCTCCCCCCCCCCCCACTCTCTGCCCCTCCCCAGCTCACGCTCTGTCTCTCTCTCTCTCTCTCTGTCTCAAAACTAAATAAACATTTAAAAAGTTAAAAAATGAAAATAAAATAAGTAAGAAATAAAATGCTTGCCTCTGGGGACTCAGGTGATTTTTCTGTTGGGGGCTGCAATTGGGGATAACAGGAGAAGTAACCACACATTACATATGCCATACTCTCACCTTTCATTTTACATACTTGGGTGTTCTTACAATGAGCATGCAATCGATAAATTTATTTATTAAATGGTCGTTCAGTGGTGGAGAAAAGAATACCTGCAAGCACAAGTCATGCCTAAGTCACAGGCCGTGTGCGTTCCTCCTTAGGATTAACCCATGTGAAAGTCACTTAGTTTCAACTGTCAAGCCCTTTTGCTTGAAAGTCACTTCCAAGTTTCCAGCTGATTAATACACAGAAATTAGCTCTTAAAGAGATAATTTAAGGTCAGGAGGGAAATTAGCACAGATAAGCAAATAAAGATACTTCAAAAACAATAAGCACAGAAAAGTTCCATTCTAAATGTTTTTATGTATTTTTGAGAGGGAGAGAGAGAGAGAATGAGCAGGGGAGGGGCAGAGAGAGATGGAGACACAGAATCAGAAGCAGGCTCCAGCTCTGAGCTGTCAGCACAGAGCCCTACACGGGCCCAAACTCATGAGCTGTGAGATCGGGACAGGAGCCAAAGTCGGACGCTTAACTGGCTGAGCCACCCAGGTGCCCCAGCAAAGTTCCATTCTAAAAGTCTCAGGATTTGGGGAACCTGGGTGGCTCAGTCGGTTGAGTGTCCTACTTCAGCTCAGGTCATGATCTCATGGTTCATGGGTTCAAGCCCCACGTCAGGATCTGTGCTGACAGCTCAGAGCCTGGAGCCTGCTTTGGATTCTGTCTCCCTCTCTCTCTCCACCCCTTCCCCCCTCATGTTCTTTCTCTCAAAAATAAATAAAAAACATTAAAACAATAAAAAATAAATAAAAGTCTCAGGATTTATTGTAAAATGTTCATTTAGAAACCACAGGTAAAGGGCTGCCAGTTGTGCACTGAAGAAAACAAAAACCTGAAAAAGTACAAGCGGTTTGACAGGCCTAGTATGGGTGGTGTGGTTCTCGTGGCTGTATCCTGAGACAGCTAGGGCAGGGCCTGATCAATTTATATGCAGACCATCAAGGCTGCCTGGCTTTATATCTTTAAGGTAGCAGAAAGTTGACCCATAGCCTGTCAAATTAACACGAAAATACATTTTCTTAATGCCTATTTGCATGCTGTTAACAGAATTTCTTTAAAAAGACTGAATGCTTGTCTCTCAAGATTGAGGGCAAAGCAAGGGTGTCTGCTCTCACTACTCTCATTCGACATAGTGCTGGAAGTCCTAGCTAATGCAATAAGGCAAGACAAGGAAATAAAACACATACAGATTGTAAAGGAACAAATAAAAAAAGTCCTCCTGGAATAAAGAAGTTGAGTTCAATGAGGTCACAGGATATAACAAAAACACAAAAATCAATTATACATACATGTTTTTCAAGTTTATTTATTTTGAGAAAGAGAGAGAACACTAGAGCACAACATGAGCAGGGGGCGGGGCAGAGAGAGAGAATCCCAAACAGGCACCCCAAAAACTCATTATATTTCTATATATTAGCAACGAACAGAACATGTGGACTGCAGTTTAAAGTATCACTCACCATCACTCCACCAAAGAAAAAGCTTTGTGTAATCTAACAAAATTTACGCAGAACTTGAATGCTGAAAATTATAAATGTGGAAGAAATAAATCAAAGATCTAAATAGGGGCACCCGGGTGGCTCAGTCCATTGAGCACATGACTCTTGGTTTCGGCCCAGGTCACGATCTCACAGTTTGTGAGATTGAGCCCTGAGTCGGGCTCCGTGCTGAGCGTGGGGCCTGCTTGGGATTCTCTCCTCTACCCTCTCTCCCCTACCCCCACTCGTGCATGTGCACGTGCATGCATGCGCTCTCTCTCAAAATAAATACATACATACATACTTTAAAAGAATTAAAAAAAAAATCCAAACAAATGACACGTACAGTGTTCATGGATTGGAAGAGTCAATCTAGTAAAAAGCCAATTCTTCCCAAAATACAGCTTCATGTGATTTCTATCCAAATCCTAGCAAGATTTTTTTTTTAGACACAGACAAGATTGTTCTAAAATTTATACGGAAAGACAAAGGAACTAGTAAAGCTAAGCCATTTTTAAGACTTACTATTTCAAAACTTACTATATAGTGACAATAATCAAGACTGTGTGGTATTGGCAGAATGAGAGAGATCAGTGGAACAGAACACAGAATCAGAAATAAACCGATGCACATACCCCCAACTGATTAAGGAACAAAAGCAATTCAAGGAAGGCAAGACAAAAAATGAACCTCAACCCAGGCCTTGCACCTTATATCAAACCAAACTCAAATCATGAACTTAAATGTAAAACTTGTAGGGAAAAAAACATGTCTTCGGGATCCAGAGCGAGGCATAAAGTTCTTAGACATGACGCCAAAAGCACGATCCATAAAACATAAAAAGTAAAAGCTGACAAGCTGAACTTCATGACAATTTAACATTTTTGCTGAGAAAAACCCTGCTGTGTGAAGAAAAAGACAAGATACAAGACTGAAGGGAAGTATTTGCCAATCACATACCCAAAAAGGCCTAGTATCTAGAATATACAAAGAAGTCTACAAACTCACCAGTAAGGAAGCAAATATACCAACTAGAAAACAGGCAAAAGCCACGAAGGGACATTTCACCAGACAGGATATACAGATGACAAATGAACACATGAAACGGTGTTCAGCATCGTTAGCCATCAAGGAAATGCAAATTAAAATCGCAATGAGATATCGTTATACGGCTGCTGGAATGGCTGAAACAAAAACACCGTCAACACCACGTGCTGAGAATGCAGCAGGGAGGATGCAGAGAAAGTGGGTCACGCACAGTACCAGTGGGACGTGAAGCAGCACGGCCACGGTCATGGACTGAATCGTGTACCCCCAAGATGCATCATGTCGAGTCCCAACCCCATCCTCTGAATGTAACCATTTTTGTGGAATTTCTTGTTTTCTTTCTCTTTCTTTCTTTCTTTCTTTCTTTCTTTCTTTCTTTCTTTCTTTCTTTCTTTCTTTCTCTCTCTCTCTCTCTCTTTCTTTCTCTCTCTCTTTCTCTCTCTCTCTCTCTCTCTCTCTCTTTCTTTTTTTGAGATAAGGTTTTTAAAGACATGGTTAAGTTAAATGCCAGCAAAGCCCTAATCCAATATGACTGCTATGCTTACACGAAGAGAGACACCAGGGATGAGCCCACGGCGGAAAGCCCATGTGAGGACACAGCCAAGAAGGCAGCCATTTGCAAGCCAAGGAAAGAGGCCTCGGGAGAAAGCAAACCTGCTGACACCTTGAACTTGGACTTTTAGCCTCCAGAGCTATGAGAAAATTCACTTCTGTTGCTTCAAGCATCCAGTCTGCGGTGTTTTGTTATGGGAGCCCCAGCAAACTAATGCAGCCAGACACTCCGGAACACGGTCTGGCAACGACCTTACAATCTAACGACTGCACTCGTGGGCATTGATCCCAGAGAAATGAAGACATGTCCACACAAAAACCCGTACACAAACGTGCCATCACAACCTTCTATGTAATAGCCCCAAACTGCAAACAACCCCGATGTTCTTTAGTGGGCAAATGGTTAAACCCACACCACTGGGTGTCACTCAGCAATAAAGAGGAACGAACTACCGACAGATACAACAACCTGAACGGATCTCCGAAGAAGAACCGTGCTGAGTGAGAAGAGCCAATCCCTAAAGGTGATGCGTATGACTCCATTTACATAACGCTCTTGAGGTGACAACACTATAGAACTGGGGAACAGATGAGAAGTTGCCAGGACTTGAGGGCTAAGGGTGGGAGGGATGTGGGCGGGACTATAAAAGGACAAGAGGATGGGTCGTTGTGGTGACGGAAATGTTTCGTGTCTGGACCACAGCGACGTCAACATTCTCCTTGTGATACTGTACCAGAATTCCGTTAAGACGGTGCCAGCGGGAGTAACAAGGTAAAGAGAGCACCTCTGCGTTTCCTTTTTTACAACTGAATGTGAATCAACAAGGATCTTAAAACAAAAAAGTTTAGCTTAATAAACCAGCAGAAAACAAGCACAAAAACCCAGTTTCTAGAAAAGCCCATCACAGGTACAGGTAAAACACATACAAAGCACTCTGTAGTTATGATGGGAAGAGGCTCTAGATTTGCACCTAGTAGCAAAACATCTCAGCGCACTTACCTGCTTCACTTTGACTGTCGAGTGGTGAGGGCTTCGGCTTCTCTTACTTCGTGGAGACTTGCTTCTTCTCCCTGAGGACTTGTTTTTCTTTTTGGCTGGGGACCTTTTCAGAGCATGGCACACACAGGGTTTTATCTCAATTTCCCTTCCCCCATACAAATTCACTTCAAGTTATCAAGCTTACCTACTAACACAAACAGCACATTTGTGAACACCTCTGCTTTTCACACTAAAGGAGGCAGGGGCTCCACTCTCCAAACCTTGACGTCTTCCTGGCGTTCCAGACCCACATACACAGCTGCCTGCTGAACGTCCTCACAGAGCATAATCCTTGCGTCCCAACCCCTCGACACCCTTTCCTCCCTCGGTCTCTGCCATCTCAGTAACTGGCACCACCATGCACCCTGCTCCTCAAGCCAAACACCCAGAAGACACCCTTGACTCTCTTTACTGTCACCACCAGCGGCTCCCTACCCACCCCCCCCCACCCCCAACAATCACCTCCACCCGTCAGCAAGTCCCTGGCTCTATCTCCTCCCTCTCCTACCTCACTCCTACCACACTCTCCTTGATCACTAGGCGGTTTGTGCTCTTTTTTTCTATTTCTAGAACAATCACGTTCATTCTGCTTCAGGTTCTTGGCACGTAGGGTCTCCTCAGCCTGGATCCTTACAAGGCTAGATTATTCTTATTTGGGTCTCAACTCAAATGGCACCTTTTCAGAGAGGCCTTCTCTCACTCGCCTTCAAGCTCTATCCCATTCCTGTTTTAACCTCTTCCTAACACTGGTTACTAACTGACACTATTTTCTGTTACTTTGTCTCAAGGCGAGAGCACATCAATTTTGCGAGGGCAGACACGGCCCATCTCCTTCACCTTTGAGGCCTCAGTACCCAGGGCAGTCTTTAACAGGCAGTAAAAACTATGTTGAAGGAATAAATCAACGGGTCTATCAAGAGACCATTTTTCTTCTAAACCTCTACCAGGTAGGTCGCTTAGGCTCTCGACGGGAAACATCTGGAGGCAGATCAGTGGAAAGCCAACGACAGCACTCCATTTGTAGACAGATGGGGCACATCTTTTATTTCAACTTGATCAATGCTATCTGCTGGGCCGTACTCGGACACGTGCTGGGCACAGGGATGAAGGACGGGGCGGGGATCCTGCCCATTAGGCATCAGGCGCTTAACGCAAGAGACACGTACCGGAGTAAACATTCTTTAGCACAAGCACGACCGGGTCACTTCCACCACCTTAGGATTAAATCCAAGCTGCTGCGCTCAGCATTCAAGGTGTGTTTCTCACGCTAGCCCTGTCCTTTCTCAATGAGCCCGACCCAAGTCCGTCCCGGGCGCTTTCCCACTTACCGGCTACCTCCTCGGGCTCGGTTCCCTCGGTGACCAGGGCGGCCCGGCTCGCCGGCCGGCGGGGACGCGCTACCGCCAGAGGAATCTGGGCGGCGGTGGGCGGGAGGCGCGGCTTCCGGGCTGAGGCGCTCCTGCTTCACCTTCACCACCACCGCCGCCGCCACCATGTCCCCGTCGCGGTGCCTCCGTCGGCTCCCTCGCTCCCGCTCGCTCTTTACCTCCTTCATGCTGAGATATCAGCCGAGCGAAGGAAAAAGAGAGCCGTTGCGCTCCTCTCACTAAAGGAAATGACGGGTGACCCCTCGACTTCCGCTTCCGGGTCCGTGTTCTCCCAGAAACCCTCGCGGCGGAGAGCTAAGCACGTGATCGCGACTCTTCGGCGCAGGGCGGGGCTGTACAGGCCCGGTCCCGTTGGCGGGAGTTTTAAGGTGTCAAAAGCAAACTTCTGGAGAAAAACTACTCTCGAAGCTGTTTGTGGCTGCATTATTAGTAATTACTAAACACGGAGGCAATCTGAATGCCCACCAGGAGGAAACTGTTTAGCCAGCCGATCGGTGGTCTGTCGCCATTCGCAATGCTATTTATACACTGTGACAGAGGAATCCCTGACTTGTTCAACGAATGAAGCGGGATAAAAAATTGTGCGCAAACTGTGATTACGTTTATCTTTGGAAACACGAACTTAAAAAGAGACGGAAATACAGTCGCAGCTGGCAGCCAGTGGGCAAATCATTAGTATTTACCTCTCTGTTCTTGAACTTTCTGTTATGTTGTCATTTCTCCATTTAGTTAAAAACAAATACTTAAAAATTTTTTTCAAGTAATCTCTACACCCAATGGTGGGGCTCGAACTCAACCCCGCGATCAAAAGTCACACGCTCCACCCCACTCACTGAGCCATCCAGGGGTCCCCGCAAAACAAATACTTTTTTATTTATTTTTTTATTATATTTTTTTAGTTTTTTTATATGAAATTTATTGTCAAATTGGTTTCCATACAACACCCAGAGCTCATCCCAAAAGATGCCCTCCTCAATACCCATCACCCACCCCCCATCAATCCTCTGTTCTGTTTTTCAACGTTTATTTATTTTTGGGACAGAGAGAGACAGAGCATGAACAGGGGAGGGGCAGAGAGAGAGGGAGACACAGAATCGGAAACAGGCTCCAGGCTCTGAGCCATCAGCCCAGAGCCTGACGCGGGGCTCGAACTCACGGACCGCGAGATCGTGACCTGGCTGAAGTCGGACGCTTAACCGACTGCGCCACCCAGCCGCCCCTCTGTTCTGTTTTTAAGAGTCTCTTAAACTTGGCCCCACTAGGGGCGCCTGGGTGGCTCAGGTCATGATCTCACGGTTTGTGAGTTCGAGCCCTGCGTGGGGCTCTGTGCTGACAGCTCAGAGCCTGGAGCCTGCTTCTGATTCTGTGTCTCCCTCTCTCTCTGCCCCTTCCCCACTCATGCTCTCTGTCTCAGAAATAAATAAACATTAAAAAAAAATAAACTAAATAAATAAAACTTGGGCCCACTAGATGGCTTCCTCTGGAAATCTCCTGAACCCTTCACTCAGTAGTCACATGACTCCCATTTTGCAGGTGACAAAATTGGGGGGCTGAGAGGTTGACCTGCCACCTCATTCAACTTGCGAGCAAGATGAAGCACAGGAACTTGAACTCCTGTTTTGCCTGCTTCCAAGAGTATCAAGGCGACTCGCTGAACAGGAGGCCTGACAAACTAAGCGCAAGAATTCTTCTTTAAGGCTGCTCGGAAACTCGCGCGCTGCTGGCCCCGCCCCACTGCGAGGCCCCGCCCAGGCCGTGAGGCCGGGAGAGGAGGTTTCCATGGAGACGGCAAACAAGGCGCATATTTGAGGGGCTGCCGCTGGCCTACTACCCCCGTCGCTGCCATGATCCCCCCTGCGGACTCTCTGCTCAAGTATGACACCCCGGTGTTGGTGAGCCGAAACACGGAGAAGCGGAGCCCCAAAGTAAGGAGGGGTCTCAGGGGGCGTCTCAGGGGGCGGGGGAGCCTGGAAGCTCGGATACAGAAAGGTCCCCGCGTTGAGGAGGGGGAATCCCGAGGGATAAGGTTTGCAGCAACTGGAAGAGAAGGGAATTGGGATGGGGGAAGGAGGATGGGAGAGCTGAACAAGAAACCCAGATGGGGGACCCCAGAGGGCAGATTTAGGATGAGAAAGGAAGTCAAAGAGATGGATGGGGCTCACCCTTTTTCATAAGTAGCCTGGTCCAAGAACGGATCTGGTGGTGACTACGCCATCACTAGAGGCGTGAAAGCAGAGGGCTGAGCACCCTTGCCAGAAACGTCGTTCCAGGAGATACAAGCCTTGGGTCAGGGTGGGACCAAAGACTCTTCATGGCTTCCTTCAGCTAAGACACAACTTCTGACCAGAGGAGAGATGGGGCAAGTGAGCTGGGAAGAGGGGAGGGGTGTTGAGTAGACCTGGAGCAACCCCAAGGGCTTGGATGTGTGGATTTCAGTGCCTGAATGACCTCCTGCCCTATCTTGTCTCTTCTCAGGCACGGCCGCTGAAAGTCAGCCCCCAGCAGCCTGGACCCTCGGGTCCGGTCCCACAGCCACCAAAGACCAAGCTTCCCTCAACATCCTGTGTCCCAGATCCTACGAAGCAGGCAGAAGAAATCTTGAATGCCATTCTGCCCCCAAGGTAAAAAACAAAAAAACAAAAAAAGTGGGCGCGGTGGCTGACAGAAAGGTTTTGCATTCCAGTGCTCCGCAACTTAGGAAGAGGCACCCTGTCTCTGTTCCTGGCCAGGATTTCCTGCCAGCATCCCAGAACTCCTAGAGCTTGCAGATGGCTGGATCCTGGGAGGATGGGGGGGGACCTCTTCTCTGCCATCCTCATTTCCCAAGTGCTCTAACCCAAGCCTGCGGCTTTAAATACCACCTATATGCTGATGGCTCCCAAATGTGTTATCCCCAGCCCTGTCCTTTCCTCGAAACTCCAGACCCTGCTTTCTACTGCTTTCTCATGATCTTCATGAAGGTGCCTCATAGACATCTCACCCTTCAGCATGTCCAAACGAAATCACAAGGCATCCCTATCCCCACCTACTCGTCCCCAGTCTTCTCCTTTCTACTAGCAGCTCAGGCCACCCTGCGTTCCTTTTGGTCTCTCACATCACACGTCCTATCCTTCATCAACTTGTTTTGGTTCCGCCTTCAAACGGACATCCCCAATCCAACCACTTCCCACCGCCTCTGCTTCCACCATCTTGTTCCTCGTCACTGTTTGTCACCTACAGTGGCCTCCTGTCTGAAAACCTTGCTTCTGCTCTTTGCCCCTACGATGTATCCTCCGAACAGCCCCGAAATCACAAGCCAGATCATGCCAGTCTTCTACCAGGAGCTCTTTACTGGTTTCCCATGTGACTCAGGCTAAAATCCAAAGTCTTTAGAATGACCCGGAAGCCCTGGCATGATCTCGTCCCTCACATATCCATGATCTCGTCCCCTGTTATTCTCCTTCTTGTTCAGTGTACGAATGCCATAGGGGTATCTGCTCACTGCTTCTGAAACACCTTCCATCACCCTCAGGGCCTTGACGGTTGCTGTTCTTACTGCTAAGGATACTCTTCCCCTGACGTCCACCTCATTCCCTTTGTCTCTTTCCTCGGGTCTTGCTCAAATGTGATTTCCTCAAGGGGGCCTTCCTTGCGGATCCTTGTAAAAGAGCACATTCTGCCTTCTTCACCATCCCCTTACCCTGCTTCTTCCTCCTGCAGCCGCATTGATCACTATCTGACATGCTTTGTTGATGATTCTTATGGAATCGGTTGACAGTATGGTTTCGAAGGCTGTGATGTAAAGAGAGACTGCAGTCTCGTCTGAGATGGAAGTCAAAGAAGGGAGGGGTGATTTTTCAGGTGGTTCTTTCCCATCAATAAAATGGAAATCCTCGGGGTGCCTGGGTGGCTCAGTCGGTTAAGTGTCCGACTTCGGCCCGGGTCATGGTCTCACGGTTCATGAGCTCGAGCCCCACGTCGGGCTCTGTGCCGCCAGCTCAGAGCCTGGAGCCTGCTTCGGATTCTGTGTCTCCCTCTCTCTCTGCCCCTCCCCCACGCGCGTGCGCGTGTGCGCGCGCGTGCTCTCTCTCTCACTCTCTCTCTCAAAAATAAACATTTAAAAACATTTTTTAAATAAATAAGTAAATGGAAATCCTCCCCCCACAGTGATTCTACCCTCAGGCTCCCTCCTCGTGGTTCTGGAACCTGGCCATGCCTCTGACACAAGGTCTACTATAGTGGGGGCTGGGGGCGGGGGCCACATAGGCACACACCTTCAGGCACACACCTCCCCACTGCACACATCTGCCCCATTCTGGCTGGCAAGGTTCATGGTGCCCTGTGCCTCCCACCCCACAAGTCAGTGGGGGAATTCTCACTGGGCCTTCTGTTCCAGCCAAGCAACAATGCCCATGAATCTGTCCTCAACCCGCTAGATTAAGATCTGGAACACAGGTGATGTTTTCACGGGGACACGTAGGAAGGTAGAGTTGGCCCACAGCTAGGGGCCCCGTGGAGGTGGCTTAGTGGGTGTGGCTCTGGAGCCATAGGCTCCTCAAGGAAGAGAGGGGAGTAGAGGATTGCGGCGGGCTGGGGACCGAGCTGCCCCCTCGCTCCCGCTCAGAGAGCTCAAAGGGCCGCCTCTGCTCGTGTCCCGAAGACCCTGTGGTCGATGGGCCTGCTCAGCCTTGCTGTGTCTGTGCCACAGGGAGTGGGTGGAAGACACGCAGCTATGGATCCAGCAGGTGTCCAGCGCTCCCAGCACCAGGATGGATGTAGTGCACCTGCAGGAGCAGCTGGACCGGAAGCTGCAGCAGCGACAGGCCAGGGAGACGGGCATCTGCCCCGTGCGCAGGGAGCTGTACTCGCAGTGCTTTGGTGAGTGGCGCGGCGTGCGCGGTGGAGGTGGGGGTGGGGGGGATCCGACGCACATCTGCCGCCCCCTCCCCTTCCCTTCGAGCACCATCCCCAGCCCTGAGCATCCCTGAGCTGCAAGCCCACCCCATCCCGGAGTCGTCTTGTGTCCCCCTACCTGCCCCACACCCAGGAACTGCCAAACGCGCCTCCTTCCCGCTCTTTGCCCGCCGACCTGACAACCCGGTTCCTAACCTCTCGGCAAATGTTCGGAGGTAAGATGAGAACTTCCGTTCTAAGTCTTTTTCTTTTCAAAGATTTTTATAATAAGCATATGCTGATTTTTTTAAATCGGAACAATTAACGTGCTAGATTCATATCCATCGACCAATATTCCAGCCCTTGGGCCGGGGAAATATTTCAGGGTAACTTACTGTTAACTGACAGTCACGAACGATTTAAGTGATCGTGTCAAATGGCTGTCCCCCAACCAAACTCACTGGCCCCTGTGGACTCTGACGTTCAGACTGCCTCCAAACCCTGAGGCAGCTGCAGGGGCTGGCAGGCTCCCTTCAGTGTGAGTATGATTAGGGTCTGCTCTCCAGGTCGGCATTTACGGAAGAGATGGGTGGGCAGGCTCTAAATC